TTTATCCATTTTGTTGTGTTTTATTTACAGTTTTTACAAATAATCGTTATTTCTCGTTATTTGTCTGCTGCCGCGCGGGCAACCAAAAAATGTATTCTCTATTTTTTGTACAATTTTGTTGCTGCCTAGATTGTTTTGCAGATTGCAGTGTTATCGTTGTTGTGTTTTTTTTTTCATTTTATTTGATATTGCGAGATTTTTGTACCTTTGTCAAGAAAAAAAATTGAAAGCTTTTTATAATTCTAGTTTGACATATCGCAGCGGCATTTAATCCTAAATTTGCAAGCGATGTCAGGTGAACACGTGCGAGTGCGCACACAAATAATTGCATACATATGTAGTATGTACATAGATACACTGATGTATCTGTGTGAAACAAAAAAACATTTTAATCCCTTCAATAATGCACACTTAAAAGTACATTTGTGCTTCCAAAATTTTCGCCTTTTAATTTCGCACTCTGGTCCATTTTGCCGGTGTGGATTATGACCACTTCATATTCACAACTGCCACTAACAAGTCAACTGAAATGTAAAAACGCATTGCCAACAATAGAAACAACAAGCACAAACGCAGAAGTATCAACAGTAAAAACACAATAACACAAAGGAAAATAAGTGTAATAAAAAAAGGTAGAAACAATCGTAAATGACTCCTTTCACAAGAAAGAAGGTGAGGATAGGAAAAACGTAGACGAATAAAAGAAAACAAAGTGGCCAGGGAACCCAAGACAGAAAAAAATCAGCATACATTTAGGTAACTGGCAAGAAAACCCTCTTTGGCAAAAAATATGCTCGACCCACAAAACGAGGCAATCATTTATCCAGCAATGAAAAAACTAATTTCGCTTTGCTTCAACACAAAGGGGAAATATGTAATTGTTTGCATCGGATAGCTTTAACAGTTTGTAATGCAACTTTATTTGACAGAATTTAGTTGATATCTCTTTGGATGCAACAAAATCTGTATGTGCCACGCCTACCTATGGACCGTTCGTAAAGTTTTATAAAATCGGTTTTGGCATTTGGTACATCAAAATCACTTAGATCTCGTGAATACAGAGCCAGCTCAACCTTCCTTTCTTGAAGTCGTGAACGCCTTGCCACCCACCAACAGGACGAAGCCTCCAACGCCCTTAAGCCGGCAATGATGCTGGCTGCTTCGGCGGTCCAAGTGCTCACAATAATGTAACAACTTAATTTCACTTGAATGCCTTTTTGCTGCACAACATAAAAATATGTTTTGCCTTTGCCCAGCACTAAGCAATTCTTTTTCTGGGACGCCAAGCGTTTTTCCTTTGTCGGCGTACTTTTGGCCTTTTTTTGCGGGTGAGGTGAGTGGCGTCTTCTTCCTGCGTCCCTTGCCCATATCACTGCAGTAGCGAGCCCAAGTTAGCCTACAGCAAGCCAAACCGCACTTTCTTCCGCTTTTGGATTTTCTTCTGGTTTTTCCTGCTCTCCATTTATTTGTTATTATTTTCGAATGCTTTTTGCTCTTCCGCTAATTTTGTCTTTATATCTTTTTTTTCAAGTTTTCAGTGACGACCTTCCTAAGCGACTGCTTTCTGCTTTACCTTTTTTTGGGGCATTTTTACCGCAGCATATTTCTGTCCTTACGCCTCTTTGGTGCACTGGCCGTCTGGCCATAAAATGCCGTAAACAGCAACCACCTGCTCAACCGCTTAACCTTACTGTTCTCTTCGACGAAACCAGTGCGTAGCCGGAAAGCATAGAAAAATGCAGTCGAAGTGACGCTTGTTGGCGTTTGTTTTGTTTTAATTAAAAACTTTTTGCCAGCCACCGGTCACCAGCAACCAGTAACCAGTCGCCGGACAAGTCAGTCAGTCAGTCAGCCAGTCAGTCAGCTCTTGGTTAGAAAGTTGCCCAACTAAGCCTAATTATTACAGGTGCATTTGTATGAGTTAATTTTACCGGTTAGCTTGTGTGCCTCTGTGCTGGTGTGCGTCCAACTAATAATAAATAAGCTAACTGCCACTGTTGCTGTTGTTGTTGGCTGCACTTAGTCCACCCCCACTTGCGCGTGGTTTTCATTTCGTTTTGAATTGCTACACTTCTTCGCCATTTTGCGCTCCTTTGATTCGGTGAATGGAAGGCCAAACGCTGCATCTTTTTTCGCCGCGTTTGAGGTTTGGTTTAAATTTGTGGAGTTTAGCTGGACCGCCACTGCCAAGTAATTTTAGTGGAATTTGAAATGCATACTCGTGTACAGGTCCGCGTAAATGTATTTTCATTACTTGTATGTAAAAAAAAAATGCAAATATGATGTAAAAGTTCATAGGTCAGAGGTCATTGCATGACCAAACTTGAACTTCCGCAAATGAAGTGAAATGGCAGAAATATGCTGAATTCACCTCCAATGCAAGCGCGAAGACTATCAGTATGTATGTACATACATAAGTGTTGATTATGAAGTCAGTTTCTTTACAGTATGGGATTTGAAAAGTGCGCATGGAAAAATGAATACATTTATACTCTTGTATAATGCCCTGTATGCAGCGCTCAAGAAAACGGTGAAGAAAAATTGCCATTATTTCGTGTGTGTGTGTGTCCAAGGAATTTTGACATTTTTGATACTTCACAGCCTGTTGCCTCACTCTTTCCTCAAGAAATAATGGAACGGGCACGGGTGCTCTTTTTTCACAAAAAAACTTTAGAAACCCGTAGTAGAAAGCGTAGCAAATTCCTTAAGAACTGCATACTGCCTTAAGGAAATTTTACTCAAGAAGATTTCTTAGCCATTTCTTGTACGTCATTTTATATGGAGGCCTTGATGTGTAACTTTGGATTAGGAAATAATGGTTGAAATTAGTGATGGTCACACATAAATAGTTTCGTATTTAAGGTAAGAGTCTGGATACTTTATAGTATATGTACATATAAATCTTTTCTTATTTGAAAAGTATTTAAAGTCTTCTGTATTTGGGTTTAGTTTTAATATAAAATTTCCCTTTCGACTATTTTTGTAACTTTTCGATTGCAGGATCTTTAAAAAACCTTTGACATTTTTTTAGATTTTTCCGAGAGTCAGGCTGCAATAAAAGCTTATCTTTCTTCTTCTTCCTAATTGGCGCTGTAACCACCTAAACGATTTTGGCCGAGTTCTGTGCCAACTGACGCCAAATGGAAATGCCGATTGAAGCCAAGTCCTTCTCCACCTGTCTTCCCATCGCACTGGGGGCCTCCCTCTTCCTCTGCTACCACCAGCGGATTCCGTGTTGAATACTTTCAGAGCTGGAGCATCGGTGTCCATTCGAACGACAAGGCCAAACCAGCGGAGCCGCTGTATTTTAATTCGCTGCACTATGTCCATGTCGTTGTAAAGCTCATTCAGCTCATCGTTCCATCGTCTGCGGTACTCGCCGTCGCCAACGCGTAAAGGCCCGTAAATCTTCCACAAAATCTTCCACGAACACTCCAAGAGCCGCCTGATCGCATGTTGTCATTGTCCATGCTTCTGCGCCTTAGACCAGCACGGGGATGATGCTTTCCGTACGTCGAAAGAGGACTTTACTCCTCAATTGCCTACTTAGTCCAAAGTAGAACTTGTTGGCGAGAGTGATTCTGCATTGGATTTCCATACTGACATTATTATCGGTGTTAATGCTGGTTCCCAAGTAAACGAAATTCTCTACTTTCTCGAAATTGTAACTGTCAACAGTGACGTGGGTGCCAAGGCGCGAATGTGCTGACTGTTTGTTTGATGACAGGAGATACTTCGTCTTGTCCTCGTTTACCACCAGACCCATGCGCTTTGCTTCCCTATCCAACTTGGAAAAGGCAGAACAGACTTCGCGGTTTTTGTTACCGATGATGTCGATGTCATCGGCATAAGCCAGCAATTGCACGCTCTTGTAGTAAATTGTTCCTGAGCGGTTCAGTTCTGCAGCTCTTATTATCTTCTCCAACATCAGATTAAAGAAGTCACATGAAAGGGAGTCGCCCTGTCTGAAACCCCGTTTTGTGGCGAACGGCTCGGAGAGGTCTTTTCCAATTCTGACGGAGCTGGTGGTATTGCTCAACGTCATTTTACACAGCCGTATGAGTTTTGAGGGGATGCCAAATTCAGACATAGCGGCGTATAGGCAACTCCTTTTAGTGCTGTCAAAAGCGGCTTTAAAGTCGACAAATAGGTGGTGAGTGTCGATCCTTTTCTCGCGGGCCTTTTCCAAGATTTGGCGTATTGTGAATACCTGGTCTATGGTGGATTTGCCAGGTCTAAAGCCATACTGATAAGGCCCAATCAGTTCATTGACGGTGGGCTTCAGTCTTTCACACAATACGCTCGATAAGACCTTGTAACCTATGCTTAGAAGGCTGATCGATCCCGCGGTATTTGGCGCGAATGGCGGGATCGCCTTTCTTGTTGATTGGGCAGAGCACACTTAAATTCCAGTCGTCGAGCATGCGTTCACCGTAAGTCGCCTAATTATATGGTCAAATTTTCGGGAATTCTTCCTGTCGGCAAACATTTCAAGGTCTTCGCACTCACCTATTTCGGACTCTCTAGTCTTATTGCGGCAAATACGTCTCGCTTCCCTTTTCAGATCCCTATAGCGGTCCCACATAGCGCGCGTTGCTCCTTACGCTTATCTTTACGTGAAATTAAATCACATGTAGTATGGGAATGCGTAGAGGAAAGCAAAACATAGTACAACTTATGTAGGTCGTTGGCCATAAGGGGTTAAGAGGAGGCTTATAGATTCGCTACTCGGCTAATAGGACTAGAACGCTCTTTTACTGTAAAGACAGCCACATACAATCGGGGAAGAATTACAAGCAGAAAATCGACTGCATAGAGGAGCCCATTAAGAGAATTCACATGGATTAAATAAAGCCAAAAACTCGTAGAAAGGTACGATTTTCATAGATATTAGGGCATAAATGTAGAATAACTACAATTCCCAAATTAAAAAAATGTATATTAGGATCGATAGGGGTCTCAGTCCTGATCATAACAGTATAAATTTTTTTGGGGGAAATAATAATTACTGTTATTTAAGTTCAAAGTAGAGAAATGTAGGTTATGTCTATCTCTATCCATATATTTTATTAGAAAACCCCAATTTTACTATAAGAATTGCATAAGAAAAACTTTAAAATTAACCCATTCATGAACAATAAAAACCATTGACACTGAAAATGGCGCAACACCGAAACCGCACCTTCCTCAAATATAATTTGACAAATTCTGCCTAAGCAAAAAAGACATGTCTTAATTTAAAGTATTAGCAAAATAGGGCAGTGTGAGACCGACAAAACTTTTCCTAGGCAAGATTAGCTCTCCTAGCCATAATTTATCATTTTCCGAATGTAGGCGCTATTGCTGTTGAAAACTCGGTCTTAAAAATTTTATCAGGTGCTTGTCGGCAACAGGGTATTGCATGCAGTCAGGCGCGTGTTCTTAAACGCTTCACGTCGATGGAGGATATTCAAAGCTGCGTGCACAAAAAAATGCTTAGGTATGTATGTGGCTGGAAATATTGTGTCAGATGCACTTTTCCAAGAAGCTACAACACATTTCATGCAAATCTTACATGAGCCCAAAAGGGACTGAACCATTAAAAAAAAGCAAGTAATAAAAAAGTACCCATACTTGTAGTACAAATCAAAGCTAATGGGAATATTGCTTTTCTGTAAACTAACAAAATCCTCCATTGGAATAAACGACAAATCCTTTGGATAATTCAATTAGAGTTGATGCCTCCTTAAAACCCAGGCAAATGCGAAGGATAACTCAAAATAAATTAAATTGACCACATTTGCTAAAGTGTAATCATTGCAGTTGTTTGAGGTAAGGAAAATATGTGCAAAAAGTAGCACCGGTGGCACCCTCAATGGGCTGGAGGATAATGGGAGGCATAGTTGGCTGCATTAAGCAAATTACATGGTAATACTAAATTAACCAAAGCTTATTAGGGAGAAGACAACGTGAAAACCGCGACTGAAACTAAATACATATACAACAACTCATACAAATACCAACATAGATACACATACATATGTATAGTAAGAGCAGCAGACCCGCAACGCAGAAACACAAATAAACTCGATCTCAGCGTCAACAACAACGCAATTCACTTTCATTCCAGAAATACAAGCGTTAAAACAAATGCAATAACAGAACCAGCCGGTCCACTCCAATGGCGACATTTTTAGCCCATATACATATATGTATGTATGTATGTATGTATGTATGTATAGTTATATATTTGTGTCAGAAGGAACCACAATCGGCAGTACAAAGCACTGTACGCCACAATCAAGCTGCCAAACGAACACTTTCAACCAAAACCAAAAAGGTTGGATGTACAACAGCTTTTGAATGGCTACAGATATGGAAACACATTTAACCAGATACATATGGACATAAGCACATACTCGTACATGTGTATGTATGTATGTATTTATGTAAACAGCAGCAAAGGCCCACAGATGGCACTTTCCGCTTGCAAATATGGCAACTTTTCGGGCCAAATACAACGAACGCTGAGGCCAGCAGGTGTAGAGCGATTTGTTGCTGGCACAAGTAAAAAGGGAAAAATAACAACAAGTGTGAGAGAAAGGTAGATTAGGAGTATCGGACAACAAACAACAAACAGCGAACAGCGGGAAGCAGTCGACCTCGGCAAATGACGGCATGGAAAGATAAAAATCCACAGCAACTGCCAAAGCGCCAAATTAAATGAATTTTATTTATACGAATTGCGGAGAACATGTGCTCCAGCTGCCACCGCGACAGTCGTTGGGCCCCCACTACTTCACACAAAGCACAAACACACTCATCAAGCGGGCGCAGGCAGCGCTGAGTGCTCGCAATTTAAGTGAAACTTTTATTGCTGCAACAGTTTTGGTGGCGGCAACCGAATGCCTTGCATGGACAAATGGCACAACAACAACAACAACAACAACTGCGAAGACACCGAAGACATAAGTATCCATGCTCAGTATGTAATATGATGACACGACTCCATTTTTGCTTAAGCACTCTATGTGGCATTTGTGATCCTGTGATCCACCCCCCCCTCAGCGCACCATCCCGCCACTGAACGAACTATGTATGTATGTACTTCAAAGCCATTCGTTCACTACATGAATTTCTAGTGTATTTTAGTTTATGAACATGACGTGCCGCCACACACCCGCGCACAAACAGCAGCCCCGCTCTTGCGCCGCACACAGTCCACGCGCACATCCTTTCGAATTGGTTTGACTCCGCTTGGCTTGGCTTTGTCCTCTCGCCTTCGCTGGCATTTTCATAAATTTCTTATGAGACACGAAGCGCAGAAGTAGAAATTACCAAAAGCCAAAAATAACACAAACCCACAACGCCAACAATAAAATACATATACGGGAAATAAAACTGAAGTGGAATAAAATTATGTTGTCATGTAGCGCGGAGAGTGGTGCTCCAGCGCCAACACTCAGCGACCTCCACCCTTTGTTGTCGCGGTCGTAGTAAGTGCGAGGAGGCAGCCATGATGCAGCAGTAGCCCCGCATCAGCGATGAGCCGCAATGCTTTTGGACAGCCTCGTCTCCATATCCGTCTCCGTAGTGTTTCACTGTTTCACTTACAGGACGCTGTGGCAGGCAGCGGCCGCTTGCGAGCGAAACCGTTATATGGCTTTTGCCACCGGTTTCACATTGCTGCCACTGTTGCACTGTGCGACTGGATGCCCGTCTACTGTCTGCTGGAAGTTCTGTGCTGCTCGACTGCCATGCCGGGCCATGTGAATTTTATGCCGCACAACGCCACTGGGACAGATTTGTTGAAATGCATGCAGAAATTATATTTACAGATGAAAGTGTTGCCTTCCCTACAACGTCGTGCGCCCGGCTGTTGATGTTGGAATTCGAGCTCACTTCTACTTTGTTGTTTGTTACACAAGGATTTGGATTTTTGGCGATGTTTATGTATGCGTGCGTGTCTGTGTACAGCTGTGTGCATGCGAAAGGAATTTATGACTTAGAGCGCCTACAAACACGCTGCGTTCCAGAAGCTTTACAATGCCGCCTCAGCCACACACACACGCACACACACACACACACATAATACTCACATTCAACTATGCATGGCTGTGAGCGGCTGGCTTAAGCATTCCCTTTGCGGCACTCACACAGAAAGACCTGAAGGCTGGATAATAATTACTCGAAGCTAAACTTCAAGGGATTCCTTTTGATATCTTTTAGTGAAAAGTAAAGTAGTGGAAAAATTTCGCCTGCGACGAGCAAGCAGAGCTGAGAATTTCACCTGTGGCTCTACGAAAACCTTACAGAGGAGCTTAGCTTCTCACAAAATATTACAGATATACATATTGTTAATTCCAAGTTATATTTCTCCTCACTGTGAACCTGTCTAATCGTTTTTATGGCTGCCTGTGCACTAGACTGGGTCGG